AGCCGCACAGCCTTTCCCCCAAAAATCAAACCCAATCACTGGCTGCAATCTACAGATTTTGGGAGAAATATCCATAGCTGCAATAAGATCTGAATTCTGAGTCCAAAATTCTAAGATCTAAATTTGCTTTTTTTATGGACTCTAACATCCGTTTTGGTCCAGGGCACTTTTCTGTTTTTGTCTCTGAGTCGCTCCCAGTACCTCCTATGTGCGTCTTTGAGCTGCCTAACCAAAAGCTAATGAGCTACCTACAAATTAAGTTGGGTCAGTCATAAGGATAGCAAGAGACCACCCCAGCACCTATAAAATATTCTCCCGATTTCCTCCAAAAATGGCCACTTTGTACTGCGCATGTCCACTGCAGCCCTATTCATTCCTACGGGCGTAATCTTTGCAGCCTCAAGGGGTTGCCCTTTTAGTTGTAACTTAAGGGAAGGGTAACAACCTCTGCTGTCTAAAATCAAACTATTCAAACTAAAAATAACTTCCTACCCTGGTGACAATGTTGTCACCAAAACAGGAAATGAGCCAATATTTGCAATGAAGACACAGACAGCAAGAAAACATTTACAGGGGTTCTGTCTCTACACTACTCAGTTCATATAGCTGTATGCGCACCTATTTCATCTAATTTCCTGTCTTATTGACAATGGAATCTCTCTACAGCAGGGGTGGCCAACTCTGGCCCTCCAGCTCTCAACAAGCTTCTGCTTCTGGAAGGCATGCCTGTAACTATCGTTCTTGCAATGCCTTGTGGAACTTGTAGTTCCACAACAGCTGGAGGGCCGGAGTTGCCCTACAGGGTACAGTGAAAGGCCTGGAGCTCTATCCAGGACAAAAAACAAGAGGTTTTGCTGTAGACACTTGAAACGATGAGAACGATTGTTCCTATCCTTGCCACTTTTGCTGCACATGAATTTGGATACTTTAAAAATGCTGGCATTAAATCGATTTCTTCATTGTCTATCTCCAACAGCCATTGCAGGGAATCCACTCTTCCCTATGGACTTTGCATTGCATGAAGCTAACTAGTAAGTGAACCTCAGCAAACTGATATCAGAGACTGCCCGATTTCCAATTCTAATTAGCCATGTGACTTAATGCATTACTGGGCAACAAAAGAGACCCTTCGAGGTTCGGGTTTTCAAAATATATCAAAAAATGTCAGATTCAAGTTTAGATCAGTTACCTTTGTAATATACTTCTCCTTTTCACTCATTACTCTCTCATTTAAATATGCTGAACATTTGATTTGAAGAGTCTTTTTTTAGAGAATGTATTGAAGAGTGACTTTAGATCTTTAAGTTTGGCATTGTGAAGGTGATTCTGAAACTCAACCAACCATTTCCATCACTCACATTCTTCTAAACTTGACCAAGTTAACCTTTACTAGCCATCACTTGGCTTCTAAACTTGGCTAGTTCAACCAAGCCTTCCCATCACTTGTGTTCTTCTACACTTGCTCAATTCAATCAACCCTATCCACCACTTGTGTTCATCTACACTTGGTCAGTTTAACCAACCCTGCCCATCACATGTGTTCTTCTAAACTTGGTCAGTTTAACCAACCCTGCCCATCACATGTGTTCTTCTAAACTTGGTCAGTTTAACCAACCCTGCCCATCACATGTGTTCTTCTACACTTGGTCAGTTTAACCAACCCTGTCCTTCACTTGTGTTCTTCTACACTTGGTCAATTCAATCATTCCTATCCACCACTCGTGTTCCTCTAAACTTGGTCAGTTCAACCAATACTGTCAATCACTTGTGTTCTTCAAACTTGGTCAACTTTACCAACCCCTACTCATCACTTGTGTTGTTCTAAACCTGCTCCACTTAACCAACTCAACCAACTCTATCCATCACTTGTGTTCTTCTAAACCTGCTCCACTTAACTAATTCTGTCCATCACTTGTGTTCTTCTAAACATGGTCAATTCAGCCAAGACTATCTATTCCTTGTGTTATAAACTTAGTCAGTCCAACCAACCCTATTCACCACCAGTGTTCTACTAAGCTTGGTCAATTTAACCAACCCTATCCATCACATTTATTGTTCCAAACTTGGTCCATTCAAGCAATACTAGCCATCAATTATGCTCTTCTACACTTGATCAGTTCAACCAATACTAGCTATCACTTGTGTTCTTCTAAACTTGAACAGGCTCCTGAAATATCTACAGTGCTAAAAAAGTGGTCAGTTTGTTTTCCTGATAAAACTGCAATAACCCAGTGCAGACAAAACATTCCATGTCTACCTTCCATGGTAAAAGGTAGGATTCTTGGTTTTGATGGCTACCTCAAAATCCTATACAAACATCACGGAAAAATAATAGTAAAAAATTTCGCTTACAAAGCTATTTCTCACCCTCCTTATCAAAAATGTGTCTAAACCAGACACGGTTGGGCAGTAGTTGTCTCTGGGGAGTGGATGTGATTGTTGTGGATACCCTGTCCAGCAAGCAAAGTGCATCTCTTACCGCTGAGTTTCCGCTCCCCTCCATACTGTGCTGCTCTCTCAGGCTGTGCAAGTTCCTGCAATGTGCAGACCCTGCATAGTCCTGGGACAGCACACATGAAGGGCACGTCCATCCACACCCCAGGAACGAGCACCTCTACAGCCACCTTCTCAGCCAAGCCCCACCTGGGAAACCCGAGAACCGAGAATGGAACAATGACAAGGCTGTGATGAGAAACTTGGAGAGGGGAGAGGAAAGCTGGAATCAGTGAGATGGAAACACAAATCTCAGCTTTGTACTTGATGGGGGGAAAAAAAAAAAGTTGATCATGGTTTAGGATGGAGAGGCCGCCAAGTGCACAAATTCCTGGCCTGCTCAAGTCACAAAAGATACACAGTGTACCGGAACCTACGAAGCCAAAGAGAAAACCACTTAGACTGGACATTAAACCTGCACTCTAATTCCACGTGAGCCCTAAACTACAACCCCAGCCACAACTTATTGGTTTCTTCTAGATTGAGAAGACTAGAGAGAATCTGTCAGGTTTTTACTCCTATGTGTCCCCGTCATAGATTTCCCCTCACTTCCTGAGTGGTCACCAGGGTTGGGGTAATCCCTCCAATGTGGATTGTAACAGTAATGAAAACTCCGGCCCTCCAGCTGTGGTGAAATTACAAGTCCCATCATGCATGTGCCTCTGGGAGTCATGTCTGTGGCTGTTAGAGTCTTACAATGGGGTCAATTCACAAAGCTCAGCGTTATGAGAGCAGAAGTTAATGTATCTATCCTTAATTTACCACTCTTTATTTTGCTGGCTGAAACATGCAATTCACAAAAGTAGGAATCGTGAATGCACCCGCAGTTTAACGTTCCTTAAACAAGTGTTATTTTAGCATCACAGACTTTATTCTATCTATTACTGTGATAAAATAACGTTTTGGGTGTTATTTTAACACTTTTGGTGCATTTTGGTAGCAAAAGGGGTGGAGCAGATGCCTACATGACTGTTACTTTCACTTTCACCACACAATATACCGTGTTTCCCCGAAAATAAGACACTGTCTTATTTTCTTTTTTGCACGAAAAAAGACACTAGGTCTTATTTTCGGGGGATGTCTTACCTGGCTGGGGGAGGACAGGACGTCCCAGAAGGCGGCGTGCTGTTGCCGGTCCCGGTGTGATGTTATGCCGGTTCCATCGGGCATGTGGGCGGGAGCTGCGGCCGGCGGGAGTGTGGGCGGGGTGGGAACTGCGGCCGGCGTGTGGGCTGATAATTTTTTTTCTGAATGGAATAAATATATGAAACATTAGCTTTATTTAGATCTACATCTGTTGACAAGCAGACAGTGTATGGAGGGCAAGCAATTCTCCTTACCACCTAAACCCTGTTTTGATATTAAATGTGTTGCATGGAACAATCCACTTGCTCCACAACCCCACTGAAGAGTGTTCAGTGACATTGGATTTTTTGTGTCATGTGAGATTTGCCACTAACCTCTAACTGTAAAAAATCATCCACATTTGTAGAAGGATATAAACTGTAGAAATGACAACTACATGCCACCTTCTTATTCTGTATGCAAGAGCATTAAGCAATGTGAAAATGAAGAAAAAAAGGTTCCATTTCTATCTACCTCACATCATCTCAGTGCAACAAGCATCAGATAACGCCTGAAATCTGTCATAACGCCACCCTGAAGGAGGTGATAAATCTACGTCTCAATAACGAGTGATAAAAGGACCTTTTCCTTTTGTGAATTGCATTTCAAGCATATTTTATCACTCCAGTTGTTAAAATAACGTCTGAATAGTTAATTTACCACTTCCTAAAAATAAGAAGCGTTATTGAGTTTTGTGAATTGACTTGCTTTAAAAAGCAACTATATAACAAGCGATATCAATGAAATAACGGCCGAAATTAAGAAAATAAGCTTTGTGAATTGACCCCAATGTCTAATGAGATCTGTAGTTGCACCACAGGTGGTAGGGGTAGTTTGCCTACCCCTGATTTAAACTAACAAAAAGGTATGGGCTGGGTTTCCACTTTAAAAAAAAAAAAAAAAGCAAGTGTACAGTGACTCATAGGTTAGCACTTCTGCCTTGCAGCACTACGGTCCCTGCTTTAAATCCTGGTTGGGCCCATTCCCCTCCATGCTTGTATGGGTTTCCTCCCAAAGACGTGCTGATACATTGACATCTCTCTAAATTGTCCCAATATGTGTGCGCCCATAACATAGGGACTTCAGATTGTAAGCTCCTTGAGGGCCAGTTCACACCAGCTCCGGTGCATTCAAGCATGATTCGCTGCTGGAACGCACTGGAGCGCATTGCATCCCAGCCCGCTACCTGCGTTCAGGGGCGGGAGGTGTATTGAAGTCAATGGTACCGCAGCCACCCCCGGCAGTGAGATCGCCCTACCAGAACGCGTGGCAAAACAATGACTGTGTTTCGGTCCAGTATGATTGGAAAAAATTGTGCCTGCAGCATTTTCTGCGATCGCACGGGCCCAGAACGCAGGCATTGTTTTGCCACATGTTCTGGAGCGGGTGATCGCATTGCAGGCCATTGACTTCAAAGCAGCACCATGCCCCTGAACGCAGGAAGTGGCCAGAATGCAATCCACTGCGTTCCAGCAGCGAATCATGCTGGAAGGCACCGGAGTTGGTGTGAAGCGGCCCTTAGTAGACATGTGCACTGCCAAAAAATTTGTTTAGTTTAGTTTCGTTTTAAATTCGGATTTGTGTTATTTCGTTTTTCGGGATTCAAGTGTGAAAGTCAATTCGGATTCGGAATTTGGAGTCGGACGAAATTCGGTAGCGGTAGTTCGAACGTATTCTGTTCTTATTCGTTTCTTATTCATTTCGTTCGTTTGCATTCGTTATGTCTGTAATTCGAAATTCGGATACATCCGAATTTCCGAAAATTCGTCCGAATTTCGATTCGGAACTAAACGAATCGCACATGTCTAGCCCTTAGGGCAGGGACTGATATGAATGAATTGTAAATAAAGCACTGTGTACAATGACACCACTATAGAAATACCTGTCATTAAAAAAAAAGTGGGTGTGAGGGGGATGGGGGAACATAAGTGGGCCTGTTCCTGAATTTGGGCTTTTAAGGCTGGGCACACACCTTACAACCATCGCAAGACTTTTGTCTTGTGATGGTTGTAAGGTAATTAAAAAAGCATACGATCTGCCCATCTTGGACAGGCAGATCGTACTTGCAATGATCGCAAGCCACGCCCCCCTGAGGGGCAGGCTTTTCCGATGACCGCAATACCGCAATGCTTGCGCACACCGGCCCATCCGGCTTTTATCTTACGAACATGCTACACACCCGCCGAACATCGTACGATGCTCGGCGGGTTTTCGAACATGTCCGTAAGTTACATGTCATGCGACCTTACAGTAGTAGAGGTCGCACGGCTTCCACACACCTTATGATAATCGTACGATCGCGGGATTTCCCGCGATTATCGTACGATTATCGTAAGGTGTGTGGGCACCTTTAAAATACATGGCTGTCATGTGGCTCAAACTGCTTGCTTGCTGACCAAGAACACCTATGGAGTTCCAGGTCAGTAACCAACAGGCAGCCAGCATTATCAGCGGTAGGCCAATAAAGACAACTCATATGCTCCCCTGTGAAAGAAATATAGAGCTGCTACTGAGCTATCTCTGTAAAAGTAGATTGTTGGCATGGTAATCCTCAGGCTTCAATACTTCAAGTCACTAGTCCAGAAGGAAGATGAAAAGTTCTAAATTCAAATGCCACCCAGTCCTGGTCAACCATCTTCTCGGCGTATATTAACAATCATGTATCATCTTATTCTAGGTACACGGGGGCAGCCCTCTTGTCCTTCTTGTATGTCTGGTAGAAAACAGACTTAATACCCTGATGGCTGAGATTTTACACAACATAGAAATTGCATTTGAAATGTGTGGAGCTCAGGTAAAGATAAATAAAACCAATGATAAATGGAAACCTATGTACTCTACCTATTTATACTTCCTGCAATCTACAAGATAGGGGCCATCACAAGGGGTAGGCTTCGAGTAAGCAGAGCCTTCAACTGTTTTCACCACCCATGGGTTTGATGAGGGGTGGACAAACATCGGCACTCCAGCTGTGGTGCAACTACAAGTCCCATGTGGCATTGCAAGACTCTGACAGCCACAGGCATGACTCCCAGAGACAGATGCATGATGGGATTTGTAAATTCACCACAGCTGGAGGGCTGGAGTTTGCCAGGTTTGGAAAATCTTCGAAAGAATAGAGCTGGCAGCCATTGAGCTGGCAGCTCTGTTCGTGTATTGACAGCAGTCGGCGGCCGCTGTCAGAATACAGTTAAGACACCAAGAGATTCCTCGATCAAGGCTCGTAAGTGTTGATGGAGGAATCGGTTATATTTTCTTTGTTCAGCTGTATGGCCAGCTTAAGCGGAGCCTTCAACTGCTTACCCAGAGTTGGGCTTTAAAGTTAAATTGTCTGCACATCGTTCAACCTGAACGACTGAGGACCTCTAGTGGCAAAATGCAATTACTGCAGGGCCAGAGCCACAGAGGAGGCAATTATTGCAGCCAGAACTGGTTCTTGGTAAACTCTTCGCCGGCAGCCCTTTAAGGGGTGAATGCAAGGGGTCGGAGGTGATCTTACCATGCATGCGATCAATGAGATTGGCGGTCACATTATGGGGAGCCCATCCCACCAGTCCCTTTGCAAACTGTGACCGTGATCTCTTGGTGACGGCTCGCTCACTGTGATAGGAGTGTGCGCACTCTCAGCACAGAACAGCAGAGTCAGCGGACACACGTATACATTACGCCGGCGGGAACAGGATTATCATGATTCATTCTCTACTTGGAGTGTCAGTGACCCAGAAAAGACCAGTGCATATTGGGTGTCAGGATACCTGATGTGTAGCTGCTTCCTAGTCACTGGCTCACCAAGCAGTAAGGAAAGCTTCAGGGTGGCAGTGCTGAAGCACACAACTTAACCCCCTACCGGCTGGGTGCTTCCATTGTGCAGCTATGATGCTTTTTCACTATTTTTCACATTTATCTACAAA